ATCTGTGTTGTTCAGTGTCATAAAAAGAACAGATGCAGGATGCATATGAGCAAAAAATGGATATGGGAAACGTAAGGCTGCTGTGTGAACGTAGCCTTTAATGCACAGAACATTAATGTTGATTAAAAAAAAGAAAATAAAAGGGTAATTATTGTTTTAAACCCAAATCATCCAGCTTGGTTCCTCTGTTTTCATTTCAGCCAACAAATGATGCAATAACAAACCTGGTGGTGAATTAAAGGGATATTTCAATTTTCTGACATCCAGGTAATTTTAGAACAGTAAATCAGTAATACTTGGAAAAGTTAAACAAAACTTCTAAACATTTCTGAGTTTCAGAAACTGAACCAGGTGGGAGAAACTTTTGGTCTCTTTAAAAATCAGAAGCATCTTTAAATACAGCAAAGTTTTTTTAAACCGGGTTTGGTTCAGAAGTTGAAGCGGAGTGCATCTCTGCCCTGACAACAGGATGTAAACTCACACTCGCCATATGCTTTATTAAACATAGAAACCGACACCAGGCTCCTACCAGTCTGAAACGTGGGATGGGGATGGCGGACAGGTCGATCGGGCTGCGCTTGGTGATGTTGACAAAACGCGCCTCCAGCACAGTGATTGCACACAGCACATGGACCCACCTGTGTGAAAGGCAAACAGAGCAGATTCTGGATATGAACCACAAATAACCTCTTCCAAATAAGGCTTCAATCGATGATGTCATGGAAACTATGATCCCAATGACCAAATTATTACTATCTGCAGGGTTTGCTGCGGCTCCATTTAAAGGTAGCCCTGTTTCCTCCGCTCGCTGTAGAACACCTTTAGAGAAGCATTTGGTGCAGATCACCTTCACTGATTTGCTCTAATGTTGATGTTTTAAAGTTTACAAAGCCTAAAAGAAAAAAACTAAATAAGTGCAGCAGAATCTATTATAGATTTAAATCCATCCAAACCACAATGTAATGCTATGTTTACACCAAATGAGATTTCAGCAGCAAACAAGCTTCTGATGCGTGTCCACATTAAGGTCAGACGTCCGGTAAAGTGAGTCCAGATGCTTCTGCTGCTCCTGTGTTTAATGGCAGAGAGAAGCTTTGCAGTATTTGCTGTGATCAGTGGGTAAAAATTAGAAGTATAGATCAGCCGTCCCCAAACCACCGGGCCGCGGACCGCTACTGGTCCGCACAAAAAAATAAAAAATATTTATAATTTACAAACAAAAAATAAAAGTAATTCCCTTTGGGATTATTAAATTATTTCTGATTCTGAATTTATCGACAATCAGAGTCTGAGTGATGTTTTGTTTTGAAAAATATTAGGGGTGCACCGATTGCAGTTTTCTGGCCGATTTCTGATCACCGATCTTTAAAAAGTCTGACCTGCCGATTCCGATTTTTGGTTAATACCGATTTTATTTTATTT